AGTCTCAAGTGGTCCAGGATATTCTTTTCAGCTCAAGGAGCACTTTCTAAGGAGAACCCCCCAAATGGTAACCTACTATAGGGGCCTGAAAAATTTGAACAGGTTTCTTTTGGGAAGGGGGAGTTATTCTAGTATAATTATACAGGGACCATGAGGGAATGCCAGCAGTAATTCTGCCGACCCCTCTATTATACTACTATTGGAGCATTCTTAGGAACCCTGACAGGGATCTACGTTTGGGATCCTCCCATGGCTTTGGGTTGTTGTAGGGCTTGCGGGTTTGGGTAGCAGGGTTCAAGGTTTAGGGTCTAGGGTCACCTGCTTCAAAATGACGGTCCCTTTTGGGGTACCACAAGCACGTCCGCATCACAACAAGAACCACGGAGGGTACCCTAAGTTTGCGAAACCTTACACCCATGAAATCCATCCCCAAAATGCCCTGGAGCCTAAATTGGGGTAGGTTTGAGGGCCCCATACACATTATTTTTTGGCTTTATAAGAATTCCGAAGGGATTCAAGGAAACAAACCGAAGAAGAAACCAAAAAAAAAAACAATAAAGTTCAAGCCCTGTAGACCCCAAACCCCCGAGACCTAGATGCTTGCACTCACAGAGCTGAGGGTTTAGGATTCTAGGGCTTTAGGGCGTCTAGGGTCTTAGGGTTTTTGGATGCTAGGGTGTTAGGGATTTAAGGCTTTTTGGGCAGCAGAATTGTAGGGTTTAGGGATGTAAGATCCAAGGGCTTTAGGTGTAATTAGGGGTTCACGGCTTTAGGCTTTTTTGGTTTGAGGGTTTTAGGGTTTCGGGGCTTGAAGGTTTAAGGGCTTATGGTTTACAAATTCATAACCCGTCTGTCCTGGGCGCCCTCTCATCCGGACCCATCTCCCTTGAGTTGAAACGCATTCGGCTGGCAGTATCACATTCCGCCACAAAACGTTGGGTCACAAACCCTAAACCTTAAACCTTAAACCCTAAACCCTAAACCCTAAACCCTAAACCCCGCAAGAAGCCGTTCAGGACGGACAGCTTCGGGCTGCAGCTTAGGCTTTGGGATGTCCGGCATACACAGCAAGCTTGATATGGTTCAGGGTTGCGGCTTTAGGGTTTAGAGTTCAGGGTTTAGGGTTTAGGGTTTAGGGTTTAGGGTTTAGGGTTTAGGGTTTAGGGTTTAGGGTTTAGAGTTCCGGTTCTGAGGAAGAAACGAGCCTTTATGCTCTGACGAAAATGGAAGTGCTTCTTAATTCTTGGAACTATTTGGCCTGTTTCTTGAAGGGTCCACAGCCTTGCAACCCAACCCGCAACCCCAGGGCTATCGATTTCACATCGCGGTGGCGGTGTGAACCGCGGCTTGCAACATCTCCCCTAAACCCTAAACCCTAAACCCGAAACCCTAAACCCTAAACCCTAAACCCTAAACCCTAAACCGTAAACCCTAAACCCTAGCGGACAACCTTCGGCTCCTCTCAGGAGAGGTAGAGTCTCGAAAGCGCACCGAAGAGCCCAGACAGCAAGCCGCCAACCACGATGAACTGTCTCACTAACCTTGGAGGCTGAACATAGGTGGTTTAGGGTTTAGGGTTTAGGGTTTAGGGTTTAGGGTTTAGGGTTTAGGGTTTAGGGTTTAGGGTTTAGGTTTTATGGTTTAGGGTTTAGGGTTTAGGGTTTAGGGTTTAGGGTTTAGGGTTTAGGGTTTAGGGTTTAGGGTTTAGGGTTTAGGGTTTAGGGTTTAGGGTTTAGGGTTTAGGGTTTAGGGTTTAGGGTTTAGGGTTTTAGGGTTAAGGGTTTAGTTATTTTAGGGTTTAGGGTTTAGGGTTTAGGGTTTAGGGTTTAGGGTTTAGGGTTTAGGGTTTAGGGTTTAGGGTTTAGGGTTTAGGGTTTAGGGTTTAGGGTTTAGGGTTTAGGGTTTAGGGTTTAACGTAGCTTCCTAAATTTGGGGTCCCTTATTGGGCACTCATTAAGGGATCCCAAAAAGGACCCTAATTGAGGGAACTACCCACATTACCAAGTCTAGGGTTTAGGCTCTAGGCTTTAGGGTTTAGCGTTCGGGCTTATGGTCATCTATCCTGTGTGCTGCGATGGCCCCCACGCTACACGCCATACAGAGCTTAATAGCATTTGATCGCATCCGAGGCCCCGAACCTCGACAGCCCAATTACCCCGTCAATCCTACCACCCTCAGCCACATTCCCCTCGGCTTTTGGATGGCGTTGTTGCTTTCTTGAAGTGTTTGAAGGGACCGCCTCGAATTAAGGAGCCTTGGGATGTTCCCCCTTCTACTAACAGCCCTTAATACGGATTTAAACCCTAAACCCGAAACCCTTCATAGGGATTTTAATGGGGATTATACTATAATCCCTGTAAAGGGCTGTTAATAGAAGGGGGAACATCCCAACTCATGACCTTGGAGCCTATTTTTGTTTAGGGTTCAGGGTTTAGGGTTCAGGGTTTAGGATTTAGGGTTTAGGGTTTAGGGTTTGCTTCAAAGGCCAAGTGGCATCTCCTGAGAAATCTTGACTTCTCGGACGAAGAATCCTGGCGAGCTGTCCTGGAGAGATCAGGCAGGAACTAGACGAACTAGACATCTCACGGGAGCGATTTAGGCGCTTCAAAAATTAGAATAGGATTTTTTTTTTTTTTGGGGGGGGGGGGGGGGGGGGGTGGTTATACTATAATTATAAAGGGACCACAAGGGAATACCATTAGTAGTTATTCCGACCCCTATGTTACTCTTCTCTGTACTTAAGACTCCCCCAACGACAGTACCCAAAAGCCCTGTGCAAAGCTCAGGCTAATGCACGCTGATTTGTCCTCGAGGGTTTAGCAACGATGAACCCTACCTTCCCATCTCCAGATAAGAACCGACATCCGAAGCCCCAAAACGGAAGGGGGTTTAGGGTTTAGGGTTTAGGGTTCAGGGTTTAGGGTTTAGGGTCTAGGGTCTAGGGTTTAGGGTTTAGGGTTGAGGGTTGAGGGTTGAGGGTTGAGGGTTTAGGGTTTAGGGTTTAGGGTTTAGGGTTTAGGGTTTAGGGTTTACGGTTTAGGGTTTATGGATTGAAGGTGCAGAACCCTACCATCTGGCATCTCTGTCCAGTTAGAGAAGCTGAAAGGCTCAAGTTGTGGGTTTGGTATTGAGCTCAAGGTCTGCGATGCCAACTTGTCGGGAGCCGTAAAGCCCTAAATACCCTGAACTCCCAAAACTCAAAACACTATCTGCCCTGCCGCCCAGACACCGTAATGAACGTCACCAGGTACTGGCGATTAAAGTCGATCCACTTGGTGGTCGGTATCTGGTTCACGAAAGCTGGGACGGCCCGGCACTTCCTCGGCTCACCCAGCTTATTCGAACCTTTGAGGCAAATGTGGGTAGCTTCCTTAAATTAAGGTCCCTTTTCTGCAATGATCGTGTTTGTTCCTTATTGGGCTTAAGTATTCATAAAAATGTAAAATGATCATTCCGACAATGTCCCAGGTTTTTTGCTACCCATTATATAAGGCGGCACCCTTGAAAAAGGTATCCTCCAAAAAAGGGGGACCCCCGCTTCGAGAGCTACCCACTTGCTCGTTGGCGCTTGAGAAAAGGTTTGGAGTTTGGAGCTCAGGGTTCGGAGTCTAAGGGCTGTTTAGGGTTTAGGGTTTAGGGTGTAGGGTTTACGGTTTAGGGTTTAGGGTTGCTTTCTGGGTTTTGTGGGGTTTAAAGATTTGTTGAGAGAAGAGTTTGGGGCTTGATTTGGCTTCCACTGCAAAAGCTAATTTCTTGGTGTGAAGACGCACCGGAACACAGAGATGTTGCCTGCATGCAGTGGAACACCCCTTCAGCCCACAAAGTCAGAGAGCAGGAATCATGTGCCGAGCTACTCTGTAAGTGCAGCGCCCTTGGCAAAAAGTCGCATACCTGAGCAGAACGGACTGGCACCAAGAGTCAAACGAACGACTCTACTATTTGTTGAAAACAACCCAAAATACAAGATAGTAATCCCTAGACCCCCCCTTATAAGGAGGAATACGTGTAGTCTTTGGGGGGGTTCTTAAGCAGGACTGAAGCGCTTTGGGTCCCCCCCCACCCCCAGGAAAGATGCTGGCTACTCTAGGGGGGTCCCGGGTAGCACACTGGTACTCCCCAGGAATGGGCTGATCAGGGTTTAGGGGTTAGGGTTTAGGCTTCAGGGTTTAAGTGGGCTGACTAAATGCTTCAGTGTCCGTCCCTTGAACATGCACAAACTTCAAGTTACTTGATCAAGTGGAGGTGGCTTTCTAGCTGAAGCCCTGAAACCCTAAACCTGAGATTTGGCGGAGATTGCTGCAGGATATTGGGCAGGAAATTATTGCACCAAGGGGCTCTAAATCCTTACACGGCCTTAGACCTCCACACCCTTAAGTCCCAAAATCCTGAAAACCCTTAAAACCCTAAACCCTAAACCCTAAACCCTAAACCCTAAACCCTAAACCCTAAACCCTAAACCCTAAACCCTAAACCTGGCGCGAAAGAGAAGTACACCCAAGCAGCTGAGGACGAAGAGGAACAGCAAGGGTAACGACGACAAAGCCTCCACGGCGATAGTAATCGCATGGAAGTCCGTCCTCCCGTCGGATGGCGCTTGTCTGGATTTGGGTTGAGGGTTGAGGGTTTAGGGTTTTGGGTTTGGGGTTTGGGGTTTAGGGTTGAGGGTCTAGGTAGGGCTGGGGTGTGGAGGTGTAGGCAATGGGTTTAGGGTTTGAGGTTTAGGCTCATGCAGGATTAGCTGATTCCCACCGCGATCCCATGGTGCAAAGCCCAAAACCCTCAACTGGCACAGGGCCTTCGTGTGGGTTCAGGCTTTAAAGCCACTTCAGGTTGGCGAGGGGTGAACAATTTAGAAGAACAACCCAGTAGCCCTAAACCCGAAACCCTAAACCCTAAACCCTAAACCCTGTTTCCTGTTTCAATATTGTTAGAGAAGTCGCCACATTAATTAGGTTGCAAGCAGAAAGGGCCGGCCAGAAATCTAGGGGCGTGCCCTCACACCTAGTATGTGCTCGGCCCAAGCCCCGGAAAGCACAAAACCGGCGATCCACTTAGTGGGTATTCCGGTTGAAAGTGAGGGATTCAGGATTGAACCAGCGCACAGCGCAAAGCCGTGCCAAAAGCTGTCCCAAACCTCACACAACGTATGGTCCGGTGAACTCCATGAACGACCACGAAAGCTACAGGCCTTCTAAACTCAGTGCTAATCGAGTGGTAGCCTTGACGTGTGGTTGCCGCTCGTCCTCAAGTCACGAGGCTGCTTGGCCTTGGTGGGGTCGAAGGTGTCAAGTGCCACCATGGCTGAGATGGTTTCGGCTCCGCTGCCCACCTGGGTATAACCCCCGGGATCGAAGCACGCAAGCCCGAAGCGATCATTGTCCAGCGTGCCGTGTGCCACCATCAGTCGCCCACCATCGGTTTGTCGGCAAGGTTTCGGCGCAACATTCCAACGGGCAAACCTTCTGGCACATCACTGAGGGACATGAACAGACTCCGGCCCCGATCCACAAATCTCGGCAGTGGCTCCCAAATCCTTGCAACGGAGCTCCGCAGGTCAGCGAGTGTGCTCGCAGACAGCTTCGGCAGATAGTAGCCCTCGGACCAGGCATCAACAGCCTTCTCTGCAAGCCAGCGAATATTGCCTTTCTGGCGGACAGATCCGCGCTCAAGCGTTGCTGTACTAACAATCGAAGACCCCGCAGTGAAACCCCTTCCTGCTGCAAGACCAATGGGATGGCAGAATAAATATGTTCTTGTAGCCTAGCATCGGGTACATCAGGACGAGTGACATCCGAAATGTCCCACGCAGAAGTCTCGAAAAGTCTGTCCACGTTCTGTTGCTGGCTCGTGGCGAACCCTCTGTCCTACCCTAAACCCTAAACCGCAAACCCTAAACCCTAAACCCCAAACCCCAAATCCAAAAGGAACTCTGTCGGGCTGACAGAACCGATGACACCCTAAACACGAAACCACAAGCCCTAAACCCTAGGCATCATTGTCTCTGAGGACGACTGCAGCACCAAACTTGCAATTCCTATCTGCCCTAAACCCTAACCCTAGACCCTAAACCCTAAAGACCTTAAGCTTCAAAGACTGCTACGCCCTCGCTCCAACATGCCGCGGAGGAGCATCTCCAGATTCATGGAACAGATTCTGCTATTTGCTTAAGACACCCCAAAGCACGAAGAGAACAGTTCCTGAAGCCCCTTATAGGGAAGAATAGTATTCCCCACCCGACAAGTGGGGTAGTTCGATTTTAAGGACAATTGTGGCAAGCATCATGTGACGCGATGCAGTCAGGACAGTACAAGGACAACAAGTAGGACGGTTGTGAGGCAGGACAACCAGTACAAGATTCAGGACAGCGGGACAGGGAGGCTCAGACGGGCAACTGTACCGAAATGTCGCCTTACCAAGCAGGCCAGGGAGGCTCGGGCGGGCAACTGCACCGAAATGATGCCATGCTAAGCAGGCCAGGGAGGCTCAGGTGGGCAACTGTACGAACGCAAGGTGTCCTTACAGAAAAGCCCCAAAGAGGCTCCCCAATCTTGTAGAGTTGACGTTTGAGGGACAGGGTGGGGATTTTTGATTTTTGGGGGTGATCGGGGAGCTTGAACCCTAAACCCTAAACCCTAAACCCCCTGGGCAAATTAAAGTATTTGAAGCTGGGCAGTCAACGTGGGCAGCCAACGCCATTTCTGGTAAAGCGTCAGGAGGCCCATCCCGAGCTTCAGCCGCCAAGTGCTAAGGGTTTTGGGTGTGGGGTTCAGGGTTCAGGGTTCAGGGTTCAGGGTTGAGGGTTTAGGGTTTAGGGATTAGGGTTTAGGGTTTAGGGTTTAGGGCGAGCTTGTGAAACGTACTGAAGAAGGCGATGAAGCGCATTGCAATGTGCTTATCCTGAACCACTAAACAGTGCCAGCCGTCCTGAAGGCGTACGCAACCTCGTCTGCTGGCTGGGATTCTACCCCTACATCCTACATCCTGAACCCTAAACCCTAAACCCTGAACCCGAAACCCTAAACCCCAAACCCCAAACCCTAAACCCTAAACCCTAAACCCTAAACCCTAAACCCTAAACGTGAACAAGTTCAAAGGTTGACAACTTATGTGCTGGGTGTCTGGTGTCTGGACCTGGTAGCAGTAATGTCCCCCCTTTCCCCGAACCCCAAATTTAGATACCTGATAGGATCCTCCCTTCAGGAGCATCAACGCTTAACCCACATGACAATTCTCTACATGATGGGCCGGACTTATGGATTAGGACACTACATTCGGAAACCCCACTGGGCACACCTACCAAGACAAAGCCAGTGACACCCCAACCCCCGCCCAAACCCTGCCCAACCCCCGCCCCACCCCCGCCCAACCCCGCCCAACCCGCGGCCCCTAGGCCCCAACATCTAAACGAGAACCCTCCTGCGACATATTCCGGAGAAATTGATCCAAAGAACGGAACTCTCAATGAAGGCTATGGAACCCAGACCTGGTAATGAAAATTAAACAGGTACTCGAAAAAGAACCTTGATGGAGACGCACGAAACCTAAACCCCAAAACCCTCAACTCTGGAGACAGACCCTCCACCCTCCAAAGGTGCGCGGCCATGCCTGGGCCCCGTATCGTAGTGTCTAGGTGCCCCAGCAACCATATTGAAACGGCAACCCTAAACCCTCTGCCTGTTCTCCAGCACCCAGAAGCGGGAAAAAAGGGCTACGAGCGGGCTTTCTAAAAGTGCTCTTGAGGGTGTCGTGTGAGCGCATGTCGGTGCGTGTACAGCAAGCCTTGAACCCTAGACCCTCGCACGCCCTGACACTAAACCTAAACCCTAAACCCTAAACCCTAAACGCTGAAAGTGTCTCAGTTCCGAGAAGCGCTGCTGGCCAGAAAGTAGAAGAAGCCCAAAGAACCCAAAACCTGCGGTTTAGGATTTAGGGTTTAGGGTTTAGGGCTTAGGGTTTAGGGTTTAGGGTTTAGGGTTTAGTGTTTAGAGTTTAGGGTTCAGGGTTTAGGGTGCTTAGTTTGGGATGTTCCCCCTTATGCTATGGAAAGGTTCCGAATAGAGGGCTTTAACGATTCCGCGGTTCGGGGTTTCGGGTTTGGGGTTTGGGGCCTGGGGCTTAGGGAGTTTGGGCTCTGCGTTGGATTGCTTATAATGATAGATAGCGATGTAACAAAAAGGAAATGGTTGTATTGGGTACATGCAATATACATGTTCATACTCCGAATACGGATCAGTTTCATAACCGACAATGGTATTTAAAAAGGGAAGGGGCCCCATGCGCCGATCTTGTGTCTATGGCAACAGCACCCGCGGCAGCAAGTGCCCCAGCGCAGGGGAGTGGGGGGGGGAGGGGGGGGTAGGCAAGGGAGGCGGTTGTGGATGATCGTCGACGTCGCTTCGTCCTACACCTCGTCCTGTTCTTGATCGTCCTCGTCCTCCTCGTCCTTCTCCTCCAGCTCCTTCCTCCGCCTCCCACTCCTCCTGCTACCCCCTGCTCCTGCTGGTCGCGGTCGTGATGGTGGTCACAGTAGCAGGGGCCGTAGTAGAGGGATAAGCAGCAACGCAGCAGCTGCAGAAGCCCTGAGTTCGCCTTAGCCCAGGAAAAAGTCAAAACCCTGAAGTCTCTACCGCCCAACACTCACGTGCGGTTCCCCAGCGGCCTGGAAGGACAAGAAGCTGCTGGCAAGCTCTCGGCCAACGCATTTCCTTTGGAAGTACGGGCTAGAAGCTTCGCGTTTTAGGCTTTGGGTTTTAGGGCTTAGGGCTTTAAGTTTTTGTGTGTGGGAATACTGGCGGGGTATGGTGCGCTGGGAATGGTGGGGAAAGGTTGGGAATGGTGCAAGTGGCGTGGCTGGCGGGACGTGTGGAAATGGTGGAAGCGGTGGAAAATGGTGGACTGGCGGGTAGTGCGTAACGCTGGGAATGCGGGGGGGAATGGCGAGCTGGTGGGTAAACGTTGGGTTCTTGAAGCTTGAAGATTGGGGAACGACGGTCGGAATGGGGAGTTGGTGGGTGGTGAGGTGGGTCGATGTCCGGGTGCAAGGATGGCAGGGGGGGGGGGGGGGAAAGTGGCGGGCATCGCTGAGGCCGTCACCTTGCAAAGACTCCAATGACTCCAGCGTTGCTGGCAAATTCCCGGTTCGGGTGATCTTGATGCTTGGAGGACTGCTTAGGATACTGGCTCTGCCGGGTTGGGTTGCTGGCTCCTACTTTGCTTCGAGGCCTTCGTTGGGGGTCCTTGGTTGAGCGCGAGCTTGAAATAATAACTTAAACATGTTTGATAGGCTCTTTTCCGTGGTCTTTAGTTGGTTGGCTTTAAGGAGTTTAGGTTCGGGGGCGGGTGGGTGCCGGGGGGGGGTGTTGGCGGGGGCGGGTGGAGGGCGGAGGGGGTTTGGAGGGGGTGGAGGGGGGAGGAGGGGGTGGAGGGGGGAGGAGGGGGGAGGGGTGACAAGAAAATCACCCTCAAAATAACCGGGCACTCTGAGAATGAACTGCCAAAACAGGGCGACAAGACTCCGAACAGGTGGAGAAAGACATGGAACCGCTCAATATGAAACCCGCAGAATCACATCCCGAACAACCCTAAACCCTAAACCCTAAACCCTAAAACCTAAACCCTAAACCCTGCTCAATCCTTGACCAGCCTCGGAGAGAATGAGGGAAAAACAAAACGTCAGAACAAAAAGCAATACGCAGCCCCCCTTCAACCCAATAAGGGAAAAAGATAAAAAAATCCCCAGGGCCTACCTTAGGTTATCTAGACCCAGGAGTCACCTAGGAATAACAAGGGTACCCACTAATGGTTTTAAGGGGATTGCAAGGCTTCTTCCGAACCCTAAACAAGGAAATAAGGGCCTACTCCAGGTTGGGCCCTAAAGCTACTACATGGCAACTCCTTTAAGGCCCAGTTGTATACTTATGTAGGTACATGGACCCTTAGGGATAAGGGCCGACCTAGTCATTGAGCCCGTTTGAAGGAACCACCTGCCAGGTTTCAGTAGAGCCTGTAGGCTGTTCCAACTCTGCACGCCAAAGTCCTTGGCGGGCGTGAGCACGAATCAACCTGCTTACCCTAAACCCCAAACCCCAAACCCCCAAACCCCCACCTAGGCTTGGGATGGTGAGCTCTAAGACTGGGGACTCTTGGGCTTAGGGGACAGGCAGCCTAGGCCAACGAAAACTCGGATTGTGATCAGTTTTGGGGATTCAGGGTGGTGTAGGGCATTCTCCATGGAAGTCATGGGTGTGGACGGCATCCACGATGCTCGACCCGCAGCACGCGACATGATTCCAGCACAAGACTTGATTCCAGAGCCTGGTAGCTTAGGGTTTGGGCGGATTCGGCAGGGTTAGGGAGTTAAGCCTTTTGGACGTACGGTTGATGGACGAAATCCTGCATCTCACCACAAGCCATCCCTTCCAAACCCCGAAGCTTCATATTGGTATCCCAGAACAGGTGCAAAAGGCATGTGCGCGAATGACCCACAGACCCTAATCCCTAAACCCTAAACCCTAAACCCTAAACCCTAAACCCTAAACCTAAACCCTAAACCCTTAACCCTAAACCCTAAACCCTAAACCCAGCCAGGCGTGTTATCAAAATTGGAATTGAAGGGGCGCCGGAATTGCGCCGCTTAACGTGCCATGTTCCCCTTGTGTCGGGTCATGCACGATTTTGTCCATCCACCGTTTAGGGTTTAGGGTTTAGAGTTTAGGGTTTAGGGTTTAGGGTTTAGGGTTTAGGGTTTAGGGGTATGTATACGAGTAGTACGCAAGTGGCTTGCTAGTTCGTCCAATAGCTGGTTGGTTGTTCATGCAATGCTGTGAACACCCTTACGCACCTGCCTACCTGCCTACATACATTCGCACGTACGTCAAACGCAAGTCCTACGGTCCTACATACTTACGTACCTACGTACACATGTATGTACGTACGTACACATACGCGAAGCAGATACAAACGACACACACACACACACAAGAACTTTTCTACACACCTGAATGGTTGCGCGAATACATGTCTGCACACACACATACACGTACACCCACACCCACACCCACGCCCACACCCACACCCACACCCACACCCACACCCACACCCACACCCACACCCACACCCACACACACACACACACACACACACACACACACACACACACACACACCAATCTACACTTGCACATGCCCACAGACATCAACATGTCAGCCGCAGGGCAAAGGCTGGCGTGTTGATGACTTGACAGCACCAGCAGTCGAGGCCTTCATGGAGCCGGGGATGCTTTGTTTCCCCATCTACGTGAGTTGCTGAAAAATTTGGGGAACCGCTCGTTTCGTTTGGGGCGGGAGGGGGGGGGAGGTCTCTATTCCATGGGGGGGGGGGGGGGGGACAGAACCTAACATATCGGCAGAAATTTCTCCCGTGCATGCTCCTTTTTCAGGGGGCTTAGGGCTTAGAGCTTCAGATCCTCTAACACACACCCCAACCCGGCATCCTCAGGTCGCCGACTGCGATAATGTCGTAGACAACGCCTACAGCCCTGACCTTGGGTAACTCAAAGGAAGGAAAGCCCCTTGAATGCAGAGAAGCGTTCCCTTTTTTACAGGTATAACTACCCTCCCCTTTAGAACTTTAATATAAAAAAGATGTTCGATAGCCTCTATTTGGATATCAACAGGGCTACTCTCTGAGCTGGATCACCACAGCGTTTCGGGCAGTCGCTCGCCAAGGCACTCTTGTCCAAGCCCAGCAGGAGATGAGACTGCACGTAAGCCTCAACTGTTTGCATAAGGGTTCGAAAGTCTATAGAGATTGTCTGCGGCAGGACTTAGGGTTTTGGTTGAGTGGCGAAAACCGTCAAAAGCCCTCAGAGCATCCCCAGTATGCAAGTTAACACACATCTAACCCCTAAACCCCCTAAACCCCCTAAACCCCTAAACCCCTAAATCCCTAAACCTTCGAAACCCAAAACCCCCGGTAAGACCACAAGGGTCAGGTAGCTAGAAGCTTCAGTTGCCAGTCTTCCGAAGGCACTTGGGATGTTCCCCCTTATGCTAACAGTCCTTAAGAGGGATTGTGGTACCCTAAACCCTAAACCCTAAACCCTAAACCCTAAACCCTAGGGTTTAGGCCCTAACCCTAAACCCTAAACCCTAAGCCCCCGCCCGAGTGGGAGCCCAGGGACTAGGGATTGGTTGAGGGTTTAGGGTTGAGGGTTCAGGTTACAGTTTCGGGTTTTGGGTTTAGGGTTAGGGCTTAGGGTTTTAGGGCTTAGACCTACAAGAACCAAAAACCATTTCCCCCCCCCCCCCCCCCCAAGCTGAACCGAAAGACCCTCCTGGTCCCTGGCTATGGAGGTGCATACATCCTCAAACCCTAAACCCTAAAACCTAAACCCTAAACCCTAAACCCTAAGCCATAAGCTCTAAGCCCTAAGCCCTAATCCCTAAACAGCCTAAGCGCCAAACTCCGAACCCATTCCAGTTCCAGCCGGGGGCGGCAAGCATCACGACTGCGCTGGACAGAGCGAAGCTGAGAACCTCAGGATCACTCCCTGAATGTGACTAGGGGTTTAGGGTTTAGGGGTTTAGGGTTTAGAGTTTAGGGTTTAGGGTTTAGGGTTTAGGCTTTAGGGTTTAGGGTTTAGGGTGCCCTTTTTGGTTTAAAGGGGGCTGTAACGGAACCCGAACCTTAAAAATTGGAATAAGGGCCTACTCTGGGTCCTAGGGGTGAGGTTTAGTGATGAGGGTTCAGGGTTTGCCGAGCAAAGTCTTCACTTGACCCGGGTGCAGCGTTTCTGGCTTAGACTTCGGCATTATGGTTGAAGGAATCATGAAGTTGGAAATGTATCCAGGGACTAAAGGAGGGACCTTAGGGGTCATTTTAGGGGGTTTATTTGGGGGCTACTTAGGTATATATTGAATGTTTTCAAAAAGGTTCATGGTCGGATACATTCCCAGGACACCCAGCAATTGTTTTGAGGCAGGCAAAATAGCAAACAATTGTTTGACGATTGTTTAGTAATTTCCAACAATGGAAAACAATTGTTTAACAATTGTTTAGCAATTTCCGAAAATGGCAAACAATTGTTTAACAGTTGTTTAGTAATTTTCAAAAATGACAAACAATTGTTAACACTTGTTCAATTGCCAAACAATTGTTGAGCAATTGTTTAGATTAACAAACTATTGCCAAACAAGTGTTGAGCAATTGTTTATATTAACAAACTATTGCCAAGCAATTGTTTATATTAACAAACTATTGCCAAACAATTGTTGAACAAATGTTTATATTAACGAACTATTGCCAAACAATTGTCAAACAATTATCGGAAAATATTGCAACACAGAAACTATTGCCAAACTATTTCAATGTATTGCCAAAAACTATTGTCACATATTTCTATGCGTGTACCCAGAACCTCTTTTGAAAACATACAAGGTATATAGGGACTATGTAAGCTATATATAGGGGTTATAATTGGCGTGAGGGACATACCTTGGGAACGAGACGATCCTGCCGCGAAAACACAAGTTGGACCAGCCCCCACCACATACATGGAGGTTGAGGCTACGTTTCAACCCCGTTTGCCGAGACCCTAAACGCTAAACCCTAAACCCTAAACCCTAAACCCTAAACCCTAAACCCTAAACCCTAAACCCTAAACCACGTCCTTGGGCATAGGCCCCAAAGTCCGGATGGTTGGGGAATTCTGGGCCTGTTCAAGTAAGACCTGCTCCATGACGAAGAGGATCTGAAGCTTAAAGAGGTTAGGGCCAGAAGGGAGAATCTTTTACCCTATACCCTAAACCTTAAACCCCCACACTCCCACACTCCTATACCCTGAACCCTAAACCCTAAACCCCTAAACTCATAAACCCGAATCCCTAAGCGCTAAACCCTAAACCCTGCAAACCTTGAACCAAGCCGCCGAGGTGATTTGGGTAATGCGAACAGCTGTCCTGGCGCAGACTTCAGCCCTAAACCTAAGCCGTGGAACCCGGGGTTCTAGGGGCTCAGGGCTCAAGGGGCTTAGCCCTTAGAATCCAGAAGGGAACACTGAAAGGAATGAAATCAGGAAGCCCTGAGCTCGACACCCTAGAACCCGGAACCCTGGAACCCTGCAACCCTGGAATCCTGAAACTGTAAAGTTGGGAGGTGAACTCTACCCTAAAGCCTCGGCCCTAAACCCTAAACCCTCAACCCTCTACCCTAAACCCCATAAGTTCTACAACAGTTCTACAAGCCCAAGATCAGTGCACAGTGCCAATTCCCCCGTTCCTTCTGGGAATCGGGCTTAGGTCTTAGATTCCAGGGTTTAGGGCTTAGAGAACCGAACGCAAGAACCGTGATCTAGGGGTAGTGACATGGTCATAATTGGGGAAGCTGTATACGCCCCTTGTCTACTCGAAAAACACACAAAGGCCCATACTGCTTCATGTAGGGTTTAACCTCCGAACCCTACTTTGGTTCATGGCCCGTTATAGCTGGAGTTAGGAAGAAGGGAACATAACCCTTGTTTTGAGTACTTTGAGCCCTACATATGTAGCTGCACATGAACCTTCAACTGCATGACCTATCCTAGAAGCCCTAAGACCTGCGTAGTCAGGGTAATGAACGTGCAGTAAATTTTCTAGCCCTAAACCCTAAACCCTAAACCTTGAACCCTAAACCCTAAACCCTGGACCCTAAACCCTGAACCCTAAACCCTAAACCCTAAACCCTCATCTCTAACCCTTGCTTGCGCGAATGTCGTGCCAAGTGTCCTGAGCCCGTTTGTCAGTTCAACACCTTCAGGGTTTCCAAGGCTTGGGGTGTTAGGGTCTCAGGGTTTTAGGGCTTCAGGGCGTAGGGGCTAGAGGGTTTGGGGTTGTAAAGGGTGTGTAAAGTGTATAGCACTGGGTCTATAGGGTTTATGCGGTTTATAGGGTTTACAGGGTTTATAGGGTTTATAGGAGCTGTAGACGGAAGCTTCCTTTGGGGTTTAAAAAGTCCGGGTGCAGGGCGGCTTGTGGTTTAGGAACGTCGGAAAGCCGACGTATCATCGGCACCTTCGTCCAAGATGAAGGCCTCGCGCAAGACATGGTCTGGAAAAATTGAAGTTCAAAGTTCTGCGATTGTTCTCCAACCCTAGGCATTGAAGTGTGTATGCAGGTTCATGGGCAATATGTTAGCAGGGCTGTAAGTAGAGCAAGTGTGGCTATCACCCCAAGTGAAACTAAATGGGAAGCTGAATGCGCGGAGCGCTTCTTTCTTTGAGGTTGTGAGGGTTTAGCATCGGGTTTGGGGATATAAGTTATAAGGTAATGCAGGGGTCTAGGTTTCTGATGGTTTGGGACATGAGGATGAAGATTTTGGGTGCGTGCCGTTGACCGGTTCAGGGTCAAGGCTACTTTGGGCATCGCGATGGAAGCCTGCGTTGAACTTTACACTATCAATGAATCAAGTAAGTCTTCCTCGCCACAGAGTCACAAAATTATGAGGCATAATGACAAAGAAGTGCCTCTCCAGCATACGACCGCTGTAGTCTTTTTCGTCGACGAGAAAGTGATAACGTGGGTCTGTTAGGGCTCAGTGTACAGGGCTTGGGGTGAGGCAGGCAACGACGCATGCTGTAGCTATGCAGCTAATGCATGTGCGCAGGATTGGTGCAAGTTGCCACTGCCGATGTGTAGTGGGCTTACGGTGCTTGCACGCGGGTGAGGCAAGTGCCAAAAACATGCACGAGACTGGGGCGGGAACACGATTTCGGCCGCAGGATGTGCTTGGGATGCGCACGAGAACATTTTGGCCCCATCTGGAACAATGGCAAACCTTGGCGTGTTGATGTTTTCTTGGATGTCAATGTAAACATCGAGACATGGTGGGTGGCCGAGTTAAACGCGAGCGCGATTTTGTCCCGAACGCGCGCCGCTCCTAGGCGCAAGTCGCGCACTGGACTGTAGCTCCCTAAACTAATTACACCGGGATCCTAATTGCGAACTTAGGTGTATTCCTCAATTACCCTAAAGGTCCATGTACCCATGGTATACACTTGGGCCCTAAAAGGGGCTCATACTTTGTCGCTTTTGGGCCCAAGTATATACGATATAGGCACATGGACCCTTAGGGCTAAGTGGTCTTGGGCTTGCTGAGACCCCTAAACCCTAAACCCTAAACCCTGAACCCTAAACCCTAAACCCTAAACCCCAGAAAAGGCGGGCTCCTGGCCTGCAGGCCCTGTGTGACAGCGTAGCAGAGGACGGCGAGGGGCCAGGCAACAGCGTAGCCGCCTCAATCCCAAAACCCTATACCCAAAACCCTAAACCCGAAATCCTAAACCCTAAACCCAAACCCCCTTAAAAACCTCTGAAGCCGAGAACCCCTTTAAAAAATCGCGAGCACCAAGACCCAAAACCTGAAAGCCCCTCAACCCCTGAAAAGCTGAACGCAAACCTTGGGAGCTCTGGCGTTGGGCATCCGCGGGAAAGGGGGAGGGGCGGGGAAGGGGCGGGGAGTTGGGGCCATTCTGTCCGTACTTGCCCAGAGGGTCCATTTGTGATACTCGTATGGATCTAGGTACCCCATCACCCTATTCAGTGTGGTTTTTTGGTAGCTAGTTCCATAATGGCAATACAAATGGACCCTCTGGGTTGCTTCTGCGGCTTTACGCGCGGACAATGCGAGGGAGTTTCGGGATGTTGTGGGGCCTTGTTGCATTGAGAAAAGATTTGGGGTTTGCAATGAAAGGGCTCAGCGGGGCTTAGAATTCAGTTGGACCTTACCTAGAGTAACCCATGTACACAAAAAGTGAAGCTTCCTTATTCAGAGGTGTATGGCTGTCTCGGCAGAGTGAGGGTTGGAAGGAGTTGGGGATCGGAATGGGGATTGTGAGTTCGAAGTCTGGGGCAAAGGGGCTGCTGACAGTTAGCTAGTAACTTGGGAGCTGCCTTTCGCGTTCAGACAGAGAGAGAGAGAGAGAGAGAGAGAGAGAAAGAGGGAGGTCTAGGGGAGCTGTTGCTTGAGAAGTACTCTGTCCATGTATATGCACTGCCCTTGGTAGCGTAATTGCACGCCAGGCCATATCTAGCCCAAAGCGCTGACCCTATGTACTGAACCAGCCCGCGATGAGAAAACCTATGAGTTCTCCGCCTGCAGCAACACGGAGAATGCCCGGAGTAGTGTGTAGGCTTTCGGGCTTGTTGTTTTGGGTTTAGGCTTGGAGTTGTGTAGGAATTCGGGTGTCTAGCTCTATCCTGAAGGCTTCTTGAAGACAAGGCGCGCCACTCTTGCCCAGAAACCTGCGCGAGGCAAGCAGTAGGGATTGCTGAGGGGGTAATGAAGCTTTGCTCTGAGGCTTTCAACCCCTAGACCCAGAAGCCTAACCCTGGGATGGTGGTCTTTGGGGGGGGGGGGGGGTGAGCGAGTCTGAATCGCTGAGAAGTGGTGAGTTGCCTAAGCCTATCATAACTCAGCCTGAAAGCGCCTTTGAGATCCTGAAATGCGCAGTTCCGCTGGGATCACCCACTGGGGCTGCATGTCCCTCTTGTGCTATACTCGTTCTCCTGCCGTAGCTTTTTTGCTGCAGCACGTTGAGGAAACAGGACAGAGACAGATTGGGCCCCATGGCTGTTCCAGGCTTTCTTGGCACTTGGCCTTGGAGGCAGGGTGCGGAAGTAAAACATGCGCGAATGTGGAAGTGAAGTGCACTTAAGTGCAGCGCAGTGCAGCGAAGTGTGAATGAGCGCGCACGTGCATGAACGAATGGTCCTGGATAGTTGTCGAATTGTGATCGCTTCTGGACAAGGCGAGCGTGTGGGAAATGTAGGTTCATAGTTGCTGCTTCTTGCCGTCCGAAGGCCGGATCCTTGTTGAAGTGGGGGGGGGGGGGGGCGTCCCCTCAGCCACTCGCCCAAGCGTTGACCACTGCATTGCTCTTGAATCAGCACCCAAAGGCTACACCTTGGGATACTTCAACAGTCCTAAATATAGGGATTACAACAAGGGGTTCTTATAATCCCTACTAAGGACTGATAGTACAAGGCGGAACATCCTGAGATACACCCTTAAACCCATCCAGTGTCCAAGCTCAGCAAGCGATATCCGACATTGGGACTCATGGGCTTCGGTCACCCAACAAAATTCAGGATGCGCTTCGCTGGGTTCTGCCCCCGCAAGCCACCACTAAAATCCTAAACCTCGGATAGACACCTCCACTCCCCCCACACCCCTGCCTAAACCTCATACAAGGCCCGAAAACCCGAAACCCCCCTAAACCCTAAACCCCAAAGGGGGTGGCGGGCCTTGCTCCACTGCAACTCAAAGTCGGCCACGAAGAGGTGCAGGCGATCTACGGCCAGGTTCCTGGAGGGTTTTCAGGGGTTTGCAGGGTTTGGGGGGGGGGTCAAGGGCTTTAAAATTTTCTGGGGCCCTAAACCCTTAACCCTGAACCCTAAACCCTAAACCCTCAACCCTCAACCCTAAACCCTAAACCCTAAACCCAGTTTTCAAGTTCTTGCTGCTTGTGTAGGGCTCATGAGGTTGGGCTGGAGCCGGCGACCCCCGGGAGTGTTCGTAGCTCCCGCCCGAGTCCCTCAGCAGAAGTGTTCATGGGGCAGGGTTCAGGGTTCAGGGTTCAGGGTTCAGGGTTTAGGGTTTAGGGTTTAGGGTTTAGGGTTTCGGGTTTCGGGTTTAGGGTTTAGGGTTTAGGGCCATGATTTAAGGAGCTAATTACCCCCTTTAGAGAGCCGGAAAACGCAACCAGGAATTCGAACCAAGAAGCTCCGCCAGGCACCCAAAGGGTGTCAGGATTTGGCAATAGGGAGTTTTAAGGGTTTAGGGTTTAGGGTTTAGGGTTTAGGGTTTAGGGCTTGGGGTTTGGGGTTTGGGCTCTGGACCTTGATGTCCCTTACAAGCCATTGTCGCTGCATGGGGCGGTGTGGGTGCGGCCTCAAATTGTCCGAAACACCCTCGAACACGAGACCGTGAGTGCCGAAATAGCTGACATCCACAACCCCTAGATTCTAAACCCTAACCCCTGCAAAGCAAACCCTAAACCTTAAACCCTAAACCCTAACCCTAAACCTTAAGCCTGAAGAGCCCAGCCACAGGTCGGTGGAACGCAAAGCCTTCCGGAGCAAGTGGACGCCTGGGGGTGTCGCAAACCTCAACCTCTTAAGCTTCGAGGCGATAGTTTGCTAGGTAGGGTTTAAGGTTTAGGGTTGGATATGATTTGCTACAACCACTGTGCACGAATAGAGTTCAGGTGCATAGTAAGAAGCTGGATACTGTATTTTGCACTCAAACCACCTTGTGCATGTGTTGTTAAGGCTACGTACAAACAACCAACGGCGACCAACAAGAAGATGGCTCTTCAAGAGATAGTCCCTGCAAGAGAGTCAGACGCACACTTTTCAAGAAGCCGCAGCGCGACAGCTCGGCACTAATGAACGGATGCGGATAACGCTGCAGAACCGGCGAACGACAGCACAAAAGATTCTCCCTCAAAACCTAGCTTGAAACCTCTGGGGCAAGCTACGTGCTCACGGGGCGCTTGCGCCCGAGCTCCCTGCCAGCTCCTCTATCACCTCGTCAACCAACGGAGCCAGCTGCTGAAGGCGCAGGAGTTCCTGCTCCAGTGCCGCCACCGTCGCATCCGGGCTCGTGCCCAGCGGAACCTGCACCTCGCAGACGCTGCAACCTCTGGGGCCCAGGATGCTGTAGCCAGGCCACCCCTCAATGATGCTGCGCGCACGCTCGGTGAACTTCTCCATGAATGCAGCTTGGAAAGGGCAATCGTGCTCGCAATGCAGGCAGACTGGTGCGGAGCCAGCCGCGACCTGGCTGCCGAGAACATAGGTCTCAAAATGGATGCCATTCAGCTTGGCGTCAAACCAGTGCGGCTTGGTGACATGGAGGTATGCCTGTGGTGGGTCTTCTTGCCGCGCTTCCCACCCCTCCTTCCGGAACCGCCCCGCGAGCGACGCGAAGGCCGCATCGTAACTTGCTTGGGAGGAGTCCACCATCGCGGGAACTTCTAGGATTGATCTGCTAGGACCTGACAAACAGTATACTACAGTACCCTAAACCCTAAACCCTAACCCTAAACCCTAAATCCTAAACCCTCATACTGTATTAGGGAATTGCTGTCCTGGCTTGAGGCAGGCTCTACCTGAGCATTCTTAAGAATGGAGTACTCGTATCTTGCTTCTCTGTCTATTGAAGCTACCAAAAATGCGCATGCCTGTCCCTCTCTCTTTCTCTTTCCCTCTCCACCCGTCTCACCAGCTCAGGGGTCTTGGAGTCTCGGGTTAGGACGCACTTCTGGGATGATTCCGCGGAACCCTAAACCCTAAACCCTAAAGCCTAAAGCCAAAACCCTAAACCGTGGGAAGGAACTCGGAGTAAGTGTACCCACCTGCTGCGACGGTGGAACCACGAGGAAATTCTCACCAAAGCCATGAGCCCGAAAAGCCCTGAAGGGTTACAAGCCCTCATCCCTACGCCCCTAGACCCTAGACCCAAAACCCCACCCTAAACCGGGTCCGCAGCTCAATGCTCCCTAGGATGTAGGTTTAGGGTTTAGGGTTTAAGCTTTAGGGTTTAGGGTTTAGGGTTTAGGGTTTAGGGTTTAGGGTCTAGGGGTTTAGGGTTCAGGCTTAGGGCTTAGGGTTTAGGGTTTAGGGTTTACGGTTTCGGGTTGAGGGATGTATGTTTTCAGGCTGGGATTTGGGGTTTACGAAAATAGGGCACCCTAATATAGACCCCCAGAGTGTGGGATCCCCTCATAATGAGGACCCCAAAAGGGGTACCCCTATTTTCGTAAACCCCCATTTAGGGTTTAAGGTCGAGCATGGCTGGGCTGCCGATCCGAGGGGCACGACGTGGCCAACGCGCCATAAACCACCGCAGAGACGAAGGCAAAAACCGAGCTGTTGGAGTCGCTATAGCCTTCGGCGGTGTGGGAGCAGTGGCTGAGGGTTTAAGCAGTAAGGTGTGGTGCGATTTTGGCCCTAAACAACAAATCTACTACAAACCCTAAAGCCTAAATCTGTCAAGGGCTTATGGCCTTCGGCTTAGTGCTGTGGGCTTTGGGTTTTGGGCCCACGGCCCACTCGTGAATTGCAACGCCTAAACCCTAAACACGGCTGCTGCTGGCCAGTTGCCCAGGCTCTTCACGGTGATGTACGCAGCAGCTTGGCCAATGGTCAGCAGAGCAACGAGCCTTCCGGGCTTCAGGGTTTAGCGTCTAGGGTTTAGGGTTTAGGGTTCACTTTGGAGGGTTTAGAGGGTTTAGGGGGTTTAGAGGGTTTAGAGGGTTTACAGGATTTAGAGGGTTTAGAGGGTTCAGAGGGTTTAGAGGGTTCAGAGGGTTTAGAGGGTTTAGAGGGTTTAGAGGGTTGGGGTCTTGGGGTCTCGAGGGTTTAGAGGGTTTCGAGGGTTTAGAGGGTTTAGGGTTTGTGGGTAGGGCAGGGTGTAGGGTTTTGGGCGAACTACGATCTCTACCCTCACAGGTGTTATATTGCAGAGGCTTTGCAAAAGTCTGCGAGTTTGAGCTCAGCCAGCTGCAATTTTCGATTCTTGTAGAGAAGGCACTGTTGGAGACTGTTAACTTAAGTCCCTTCTGAGATATGGACCATAAATACTCAATGCCTCGAATCCTAAACCCTCTAAACCCTCTAAACCCCTGAAAACCCCTAAACACCCTCTAAACCCTCTAAACCCTCCAAACCCTCTGAACTGTCTGAACTCTCCAAACCCCCTAGACCCTAAACCCTAAACCCTAAACCCTAAACCCCAAACCCTAAACCCTAAACCCCATACCCGCACCCTGTCGGGCTTAAGTCTCTAAGCCAGGCCGCAAGTGCAGCCACCGCGGGAATGCCTGAAGCGAGCTGGGTGGCTACAAGAAGGCCTTACTAGACCCAGGAGTAGCCTACGAATAAGGGCCCTTTTTGGCTTTATGGGAATTATAAAACCTAAATAAAGGAAACAAGGGCCTACTCCGGGTCCTAGCCTCAAGAAGCTTCCGGATTATGCTCCGACTGTCGGGTACTTTCCTTCGTCCTAAAGGTTCAGGCGTTAGGGGTTTAGGGTTTAGGGTTTAGGGTTTAGGGCTTAGGGCTTAGGGCTTAGGGTTTAGGGTTTAGGGTTTAGGGTTTAGGGTTTAGGGTTTAGGGTTTAGGGTTTAGGGTTTAGGGTTTAGCGGGCCAGCCGCCACGATCTGCAATCTGAGATAAGCCGATGAGCAAAAGGGAGCCCAGGAAGAGACTGCAGGTTGTCTTGAAGCCCTAAACCCTAAACCCTAAAGCCCTAAAGCCCTAAAGCCCTAAAGCCCTAAACCCTGCACCCCAAATTGCCGGGGGGAGCAGGGAAGACTTGGCAAGTCCGCGGGTGCGGACACATCGCAAAAGAAATGAGGGTAGGGTACTGCCAGGCTTAGGGCTTAGGGTCTAGGTGAGGGCCGGGTTGAAGGCAGCCACAACCCAATGCCAGGACCTCAAGCCTAGCAGCAGGGCATTGATGCCTCTGGCGGGTTTAGGTTCTTGCTGTTGTCCCCTGGCTTAGGGGCCCTCCAGCTGGTAGCAGAGCCCCTTAACCCTCACTCACAAACATAAACTCCGACACTCCCCACAACACACAAGACACGCAACCCTTCAGAACATTTAGCACTACACCACATACCCTTCATCCACGCCCTCCTATGGCCGTCAGCCCCAACTCCACAGCCTTTAGCCTAAAACTATAAACCCCACATCTCAAACCTAGAGCAGGAAGAGTCTGTCAAGCCCAGGCGCAAGCATCAGCCTCGAGGCAGGGTCGTGATCCACCTAACAGCAGTTTGAGAGTTTCGGGGTTTCGGGGGTTAGGGGTTGTAGAGTCTGCAGGGGCAGGTGCCCCAAAAACTATCCTGACAACACTAGAAGAAGTTGCTGAGTTCATAGGCCCCAAAACAGTGTACACTTTCAGTTCTAGAGGGGATTAGCGTATCCCCCAAAAAGTGTAAAGCGCACTCACATTCAGCTACTAAGCTCGAAGAGAAGACCTACCCCTTGAAGCCCCCAAACGGCCCTGACCAAAAAAAGCGCTAGGGCCAATTCAGGTGCTTTGACTGGACGACTCCTGCGCCCCACGCGGAGAGCCCAAACACTCCTTAAGGAATACACCTCGAGTCATAGCAACTCAATCAGGAGTCCCTTAACACTAACCCTAAACTCTAAACCCTAAATCCTAAACCCTGCTGTCGAGACTGTTGCTCGCTTCCTCGGGTTCAGGATTTAAGGCCTAGGATCTAGGGTTTAGGGTTTAGGGTTTGGGGTTTAGGGTTTAGGGTTTAGGGTTTATTGTTTAGGGGGTATCCCGGTGTAGGGTTCAGGGTTTGGGCTCAGAGTTTGGGGAAGGCTTAGGGCGGGGAGGGGGATGGGGGGGGGGGGGGTAGAACCCTAAACCCTGAACCCTAAACCCTGAACCCTAAACCCTGAACCGGCACCTGCTCCAACTTCGTGAAGGATGGATCTGCCGTTAGCCTCAGACAGCTGCTTACTTGGAGGCTCATGGTACTTATCTAGCCAGTTTTAGCTGCACTTAAAGAGGTTTAGGGTTTAGGGTTTAGGGCTTAGGGCTTAGGGATTAGGGTTTAGGGTTTAGGGGTACTTCTTAACCCATTATAACTGTACTTAAACCCCACTTAGAAGCCCCTTAAGTGCCCTAATATGGATATTTGTAATGAGAAAGTACAGTTATACTTGGCTAATAAGTACCAGGAACCTCCAAGTTAAACCCTAAACCCAAAACCCAAAACCCTAAAGCCCAGTAGAGCTTTGGGCTCTGGGGTCTCTGGCGCGGGGTGTTCGGAGCCTGTCTGCTGGACGTACACATTTGTGCATGGCTTGCAACCATGAAAACACGCACCTCCCACCTCAATCCTCCACCCTCACCCTCAGCTTGAAAAACTAAGCCCTAAACCCTAAACCCTGAACCCCACACCCCGAAACCTAAACCCAGGTTCGCCACGGCAGCTGGCTTTGGGTTTTGGGGGGCTTTGGGGGCTTTGGGGGTTGAGGGCCGAGGGTTTGATGGCATGGGGTGAGGGCTCCACCCCAAACCCTAAACCCTAAACCCCAAACCCCAAACCCCAAACCCCAAACCCTAAACCCTAAACCCTAAACCCAAAAGAGACTTGGGTCCATTCTCAGCCCAGGAGCTGGTCAAGAATCTGCGACTGGGAATCCCTGATCATGTGCCTGAGAGGTATCCAGGCAGGGTTTGGGGTTAGGGTTTCGGGTTTAGGGTTTGGGGTTTAGGGTTTAGGGTTTCGGGTTTAGGGTTTAGGGTTTAGGGTTTAGTATTTAGGGTTTAGGGGTTCAAGGTTTAGGGCTCATACACCCTCAATCCGCAAGGCAGCCAACTAGGTCACTTGATTCCTTACCGTGCCTCCGCAACAGCAGACAGCCGCTTGTGTAATGTAGGGGTCGAGATAATGATTAATAGTATTCCCTTGAGGTCCCGTTTATAATTATACTACAAGAACCCCCCCAAAACCCTGTTCCAATTATTCAAGCCCCGATATTAAACACGCATGTTTTGGAGACCCTAAACTGGGTAGGTATGGGGGCCCTATAAAAACACGAAGGATCCTACCGGGAACCCCAAACAGGAACCCCAAGACAACTAAGGAATGCAAAGGGAGTATAAGGACCCTGGTAGGTATATTCCTACTATATTCGTACTATATTCCTTCCATATTTCTACTATGTTCCTAGTATATTCCTTGTATATTGCTACTATATTCTTGGGGCTCCCTGTTTGGGGTTCCCAAAGGAGCCCCTTTAACAATGAAAACTATGGCTTCATAAGGGTCATATAGGGGATTAGGGGTGACAAGCAATAAAAAATCAGGTTCAAACCTGCCCCTGAAAAGATAACACATAATACAAAAGAAAATGAAAACAAAAACAACAATAATAATCATAACAATACTACAAATAATAATGATAAACAGCCGCAACAGAAGGAATGCTAGTCT